ATCCTTGACAATTTTTTTTAAGGTGAGCCTAGAGGTGGCATTAAATACATTTAGCAAAACATTCTATTTAAAATAAATTTAAAAAAAAAAAAAAGTTTACCCAAATGGCAAAGAATAGTTTGCTTATCAATGTCTAGTTAGGGACAGGTTAACTGCTGCCATTTTAAAAATGTTAATGGACAAATGTAATTGAATATACACAGCAAAAGCATTGTGGGCAAAGAAGCATGTTTTTGTTTTTAAATGACCCTGTTCTTTTAATGTTCAGATTATTCTGTTCCAACCATTAAAGTTGAAAGCAATCATAAATGGCAATCTTCCAAAGTGGTACGGGCCTTTTGGATGCTACAGCTGTAAGACTTCAGTAGTATTCTGCTGAAGCTTTAAGATTGACAAGTGGATAATTGCAGAGCCCAGCCTTCCTGTATGGATGTTCTTTGTTTCTCCTGCCCTGTCTCCAAACTTGAAACCAGTGTTGCTCCAAGCATGTGGGGGAATCGTGAAGAGAGCCAAGTGCCTGGAACAGGAGCTCCTGGCTGGAATGGGAGGATGCTGGCATCCAGAACCTTGGAGAGGGAATGCGTGTGTCCACTGTTTGGTGGCAGAGAGGACAATGGGAAGAAAAGGACTACCTGTTGACTGGACTTCTGGCATAGCAGTGGTTTTGCACTAAACTAGAAACACTTAACGTATCTTACTGCCAGTTGCAAGCTAAAATTGACAGCGTCAGTTCAAATCCAAACAACAAACCTTTACTAACCTCAGTGAATCATTTTAGAGAAAGCTGTATCAAAGTTGAGGATTTTGCTTAAAGATGTGATAGAGGCACACCTCTGAAAGCTGCTTAGCTGGATAAAGCGAACAAGAAACCTATTGAAGCTACTTTGAAGTATAGTAAAACGTAGTTGTATTTGTTACTGGAGTAACTCATTGCTGTTGGGGTTGGTACATTAAATCCTTGCCATGCTCCTATTCATTTGTCTGCAAAATAGCTGACTTGTAACTAGTAAATTATATTACACATAACTGCATGCATACTAAATTATAGTGGCATTTTTTGTTCTCTTAAACTGTTGATTTAAGACTGTCTGTGTGGCCTTAGTACACAGTTTATAAGTAGTGAATCTTGTGAATTTACATAAGCTCCTATGTGAATGGTCATGTTAAGTTGCATAGTCAGTCTTAGCTCAGCACTTAGCCATAACTGTGTAACAGGGATCATCAAAATGCTGTGTTAATTAGAAAGCAGAAGCCAAAGAAAGGAAGAGGAGATGTATATAAGAAAGGAAGTTCTTTATGTACTTCTTCTAGTAGTTGGTTGTAGATTGTGGAAAAAACATTCAGTGGGAAAAATGGACAAAGCCTAGTCAAAAAAAAAAAAAAAAAGCAGGTGTCATTGAGAGCTGATAGTCTTGTTATCTGCAACAGCTGAATCAAGCTAATGTGAATATTCACCTTGGTGTGTCTCTTCTACCTGATGAGGCTCTTCAGTACCATGTTTGGGCTTACAGGCAGCCCTTTACTTCAATTGCAGTTTTATTTTGCTAAAGCGGTTCCATATCATGGGAAGAAAATTACTGTGTGTGAATATGATGCTACATTATCCCTTTGAGTATATGACCTTACTAATATACTGCAGAAGTCTTTCTTTGTAAGACTTCAGATGTGAAAGATAAGACATGGTGATGGTGGGGATAACATGGCATCTGTAGAGATGGTAAGCAAAAGTGGCTAAAACTGATGAGGTGGAATGGTTGTTGATCTGGAATAAAGATCATTTATCCATGTGCGCATGTGCGTATGCATACGGTGTGATAGTTCAGCTTGGAAGTTTGCCCTCCCAGCACAGGGCACGTCAGCTTCTTTAAAAGGGTCTGGATAGCTGCTACTTAAACACCAGCATTGTACCATCTCTTCAGAAGACTGGCTTGTTCTTTCTGTCAAGAGTGACAAGCACTCACCCTGCAGTTAACTTCAGCAAAGCTAGGCAGAGCTTCAGTAAATCTGTGAATCTTCTTAAAAAAAAAAAAAAAAGACATTATAAATAAAGCTTATGTGGAAGTAAGTTGTAAGTAGTGGGGTTTGAATTTAAATACCTGACCTAGTTCCATACTGACCTGCTGCGTAGTTGTATTTGTGTAATGTTTGGACTTTCTTTGCTTTAATAATTGATCTTGACATGTTAAAGGAACTTTAAACAAAGTTTTTGGTTTTGTCTGGGGAGTTAAACTGCTAGTCCCTTTAGTAAGTGTGAAGTCAGGGGAAGTTTTATTTACAGTCACTCTAAAGGAAACTATGTGGATGATTAGATCCCTTTGAATGTCTCCAAACCTGTAAGACTATAAACACTCATCTAAAGTATACAAGAATTGGACCACTGTCTGTTGTACTTACTGCAGTGTACCAAGTTGTGTGAGTTTTAAGAAATCCTATTAAAATACCAAATGAGATTTGAGTCTCTGTAGCCTATGCTAAATTGCAAAACTAGTGTAGGACAAAAGGTCACTGTTTTATCTATTATAGAACTTTTATTTGTTGAATACGCATCTATCCAACTCTGAATATGCATCCTGCCATCTAGTTTAATTAAGTTTTGTTAAGTCATTTAAAGTGCTTATCCCATATTTAGAACTGAAACTTTTTTGAATAATGCCGTTAAGCATACTGGATTTTTGACAAAAAAGACCACAATTAAATGTTATCTTCTGTGTGTGTATCTTTCTGTTGCTCGTAGTGCTCTGCAAAAGTTTTAAAATGTATTTCTGAGAGCATGAATAACAGGAATCTTCTTTAAAATGTAGATGTATAATGAGAGCTCATGTCTCTTTTTTTTTTTTTTTCTTTTGTAGCACCCCCAAGCAGTTTATCTGCTGCCTTTACTTATTATGAGTCAACAAAATCTACTCAGCTGTGGCCAAGATTTTTTGGTTTTTTCATTGTAATGCCATTCTTCAGCATTTTAGCTGTGTGGATTGTATGGTTAATATCTAATAAAGCACTTCTTCAGCTTAAAGAGAATTTAATTGCTTGCAATCCAGTTTTTTAATTGCAGCACTTTTAATTAAACATATAAGTATGTAGATGAGTGTAATTCTTTCCAGCCTCAAACACCAAGGAAAAAAAACAGTATAGCTTTTCCATCTCTTGCTAAGAAACTTTAACTAGGAAGAAAATGGAATTTCATCTGTACATTCCATTAAACTTATAATAAACTAGGAAGAATTAAATTATTCTAATGATTACAATTTACATCTATGAAACAGTCTCTCCTTAGAGCTATAATTTTGCTTCTGGACAGTCTGATGTCTTGCTCTCAGGAAAGAACCAAAGCTGCTTTATGTAGGATCCTTATTTTCTATTATTTTTCATAGGATTTTTAACCCTGTTTTGTGAGGAAGTTGCTTTTTCTGAATCCCATGCCTAAGATGGAAAGATAAAATCTAAATAGTCCCTTTAGAGATATAAGAGCTATAGGCAAGTTTCCCCTGTCCTCCGTAGCAAAAGCTAAAAAAGGGCTCTCTGCAAATACGGTGTTTGATCTCTGCTTGTTTTCTAAATGTCAAACTGCAAGACAAGTTTATTTAAATACTTTCTTAGTGTTACTTGTTGACATAGCAGTTGTCTGAGTTCCCATCAGGGTGTCATTTGATCACTGGTAGGAAAGGCGTAAATTAGACAACAAAAAAAGAAAAGTTGAGGACCTTAGAGCTGGAACAGTTTTGGTGGCCTATAAATACTTGTCATCATCGGTTTCACACTCTTGGGACTTGGCTGAAACATGCTTTCCATATTGAACTAGAGACTAGATTGAATTAAATTTATATAATCTTTGTTGACTGCATTGCAGTATTGTGAAGGTCCAAAACTATTGTAGCTCAGTTCAGTCAGGTTTTCACTACCTTGTGTTTTAGATTACCCCGCATATATGTATAATACGTACATATGCACGCACATCTAGATAGATAGATCAAGTGTGTATGTGTATATGAATGTACTTACAGTGTAACCTATATCAGCACAATAACCTGAATCTTGCCGCTTTTTTCATACTCCTGGTGAATCTGCCAGCACAGGTGAAGTTTTGCCTGCTGAGTGATTTAAGACACCAGCCCCACAGACGCTCCTGTGGCTGCCCCACGGGCTTTCCCCACAACCCTTGTCCCCCCCCCACTGCCGAACTGTCAGTCCTGCCTGCTAAGCCAGATCTCTTCTAAGAGCATGATAATGTTTGCATGGAGAAGATGTTAATCTGGGATGTCTCTTTTTAGATATTAAACTTCATGATTTGAAAACAGAATTGTATTTAGATATTTCAAAGAATTGTTTGAATGCTCGTGATTTCTATGGTAAAAATTGTTAGAGGTAGTAATCAGTTTCTTAAGTTTCCCTGTCTTTTATTTAAAGAGAAGAGTAAAAACAAACTTGCACCAAATATTTGGTGCATCTGCTGACTCACGTGTGACTTGACTGGAGAAAGGGACACTTTTTTGGTCTTGCAACTGCTTTGATCTAGGGAAGAAATAGTGTTGCATAGCTGTGGAAGATTACATGTTTAGTTGTGTAAGAGGAGGCTGTATTCATCTCTCCCTGTTCTGTTACAAAGCCTGCGTTTTTCTTGGAAGTAGTGGAGAATTTCACAGGGGAAAAAAGATCTCAAGAAACAGAAGTTCACAAAGTGAGAATAGAAATGAAATAGAAATTAAATAGAGAAAGAAATTACACTTAAGGGTGACAGTTGCATCTGAAGTGAGAGATGAGTAACAATATTTGAAAGAAAAATGCTCTAATGTTGGCTAAACTGGACTACTAGCCCACAATATAACTTGATAGCAATGTACTTTCAAAAAATAATGATCATTTTTATTTCATCAAGCAAAACTTACTTAATATCTAGTTAAAATGTATTTAAGCTTTGTAGAAACTACGAATATTGCTTTGGAGACTTAAAGTTGTACAACTATTGTATTAATTATTCCTTTTCCATGTGTTCTTGTTTACAGACCAGTCTTTCCATATGGGGATGGGGAAGTCTTGGCGTTGTGCTTTTTCTAGTAACTTTTGGACCCTTCGCTATATTTTACTTTGCATTTTATATCCTCTGCTTTGTGGGTGGGTAAGTATATTACTTAGTGTTTCGTACAATTTACCATGAAAGTAAAATTTTAATGTGTATATTAGCAAATAGTTTGCTCTGAAAATCTGAAGTGACTTCTGTGTAATATTTCCACATTTGAGCAGCTCTTTATGAGCCAAGTTTTTTTTCTTGAAATCTCAATTTTATCAAAAGTAATTTTTTTGCTGTTGAATAGTGCTTATACTACCTTTGCCCAGGCCAAAAAAAAAAATATTTCTGACTTTAAAAAAAAAAAAGTTGCTATTTATAACAGGAGTTGGAGGACAAATACTCACATAAAACCAATGTTAACTTCAGTTCATACTTTGTATTACCGTGTCAGTTTTTTGCCCAGCTACTTACTAATTAATTATGTCCTCTTTCCTTATCACAGTCTCATTTTCCTACCTAAGATACTTCATTCATGAGGAAAGTGAGTGGGTGTTTTCCTGGGTGTGTGGAAATGATGCTACATCTTGCTACATTTTGAACAAGTAGATCAGTTCAGCAGTTGCAGACATTTCATACTTTTATCTATAGACAGGAAGGGAGCAAACAGGTGATGTTTTTTATAGTCTTTAGCACTATTGTTACATCGTATATTATTATGTCTGCCTTATTAAAACTTTTGTTTTTAATGCCCAGTCTAAATGTATATAGTGGGATAGTCCTCCTTCCTCTTGCTCCTAAGTCTAATCTGCAGGACAGTAACATTTCTAGGCTCTCCAAGACCTGCTTGACTTCTAATGGGGTGTTTGGGCTATCTGTAATATTTTGTTTCCTTCCTTTGAAACATCCTTTTAACCTTCTTATTGGATACAGTACAGAATGTATGTACATTCTTGTATGTCTCATCAAAAAATGTAATAGAGTTTAGTGGTTAGAATTAGAGCTGCTATGCTTGGGTTTCAACTGTATTAAACTTGGAATTACGTCTCTGAGAAATCGGAATAGTCAGTCTACTAGCGTGAGGATTTAGTCAAAGTAAAACTAACTTCTAAGTAAATGCTTTTGCCTTGTTATGTCTTGGTAAGTGTATAATTGGCATATTTTGCTGGCTGTTTGTCCAGGGCAAAAGGCAAAGAGTTGTCCAAAGGGCAACAGTTTCTCCCTTTACTGTTTTGTATTACCACTTCCTTAGTGTTTGCAGTATGAAAAATAATGTGAGAGATAATAATTTCTTAAAAGCTTATTCTTCCTTCTTGCTCAGTTTCAGTTGCTTGGCTTTTTAAAGCCAACAGTCAAAGCAGTCTATCATGGAGTGTCTGAAGTCAGCTACAGTTTGCCACCGTGAGACTGCCTCTAGTGCCTGAGCTTGCTCATTCTCAAGTCAGCTCTGATACCTCTTTGCTGTGATTCTTTTGCTCCTTTGGTAGTACATTTTTGTAGCTAGTCAGTGAACGTTGGTTATTTTAAGAATAAGTTCATCTTGTGGTAGTGCATCTGTTAAAGCAGAATTTGTATCGTTCTTCTATTATGTGTTTACTTATGTAGATAGATACAAAGTCTCAGCCCTCCCAGTAGAATGTCATTACTTTAACATACACATCTTCTTGGCTAAGGCTGTGATCTGGCCCTTTTTTACGCTGTTAATCTTTTTCGAAGTGACACACCTACTTTGAATTTTAACATTCAGCATGCAGATCTGTGAGTACTAACTAGGTCAAGTAGATACAGGTCTAAATTATTCTTGGTCCTGTTTCTCTTAGAAACAAAAAAATGAATATTATGAAGTAACTTTTTCACTTATGATTAGCAATTATGTATCATAACATCCTTTATGTAAATCAAGAAAATAAAAATCTAATTTTGGTTCATGGTTATAGTACTTTCCTTAATACTTGCTATACCCTTATCTGGAGCAACATAACAGGTTTGGACATGGATTTTTATGGTAGAATTTTATATTGAAACTTGGAGTTCTTACCCAATTTGGCACGCAATTTTCTAACTTTTTATGCTTGCTCAGAAACAGTGGCCTGTATCAATAGTTTCTGACTTCCACTAGCTGGGAGTCCGCTTCCATCCCGTTTTGCAGTTCTAACAAAAGAAAATGTTGAATAGTAGCTGGTTGCACCCTTAGTATTGACCTAAATGTTTAAAGTATATGCCAGTGAGTTGTGAAGGAAAACAACGTTGATGCCGTAGCTGTATCAACATAATCAATCTGTTTATAGGTGCACTTCTGTTATGTGTTTTCTAATTATTTCTTTTTTATTTACTCTTAACTGTGCGTTTCCTCTTGCACAGATAGCTTGTAGCAAGGGCACTGTTGTCTGCATGGAAGGATACTGAAACCATTTGTGTGCCTGAATAAAAGCTTTAAATCAAAAGTTGTCTTTGTGTAAGTTTTTGTTTTGTTACAAGACTGATTTATAAAATGTTAGCTTTTTTGTTTTGTAGTACATCACTGTTCAATTTGGGATCTGGTAACACATCGCTTAGGGAACTGAGCTCTTTCCACCAAAAGCAGGAGGCAAAAAATAGTGTTTCTTTAACCTGTGTAGCCAAGACTATTACAAGGTGTTAATCTTCATTAAATACTTTCTGCCTCTACTTTAAGTATTGGTGCAAACCCCTTAAACTGAGTGCTGGGCCTGTCTTACTCTCTGCCTTTTCTTTGTACTATGTATGTTTCTTACCTTACTCTCTCTCCTTCCCTCTTTCAGTCTTAAGGAAGTAAAATAAAAATAATGTGAATTGTGGATCTGCCAACAGCCTTCGGCTTCCATTGTTCTGAGAACTGAAATTTCTTGGACCATCAGTTGCTTTGCCATTTAAAGGCATTTGCTCTGTCATCAAAAAACATAATTATTGATACTTAATCACATCCATATACATGTGACTGGCTGCCTACACTGATGATTCTAACTGCTGACCGAATAGGGAACCATCTGAAACTGCTTTTTGACTTTTACAAAGCATTCAGCTCAGGCTGTTACTTTTCAGACTTGATGGGGAAAATGATAAATCTGTAGACATCATTTTTCTATCTTTCACCTTTGTTCTGTTGTTAATCTGTCCCTGTGAAAAGCTGGCTTTCCAATAATCTTTGAAAAAACTTACCAACAAAAATTTAAGTGAAATACAATCTTCTCCTTTTTCTGCTCTGTTCATTTAGAGGAAAGACTAAAATGATTTCTCATTTACTGTGTTGAATATCCTCTTGATGAATTAGATGAGCATTTGCACTGAGTGGTCAGGCAATGTATACCTCTCTAATGCACACAAGATTTTAAATTAGAGAATAAAATGTATTAATTTCTGCTATAGAGGCAGAAGCACCTAGCATTTCTATCTTAAAAATGAAAGTACTTAGAGGCGTCTAAGAAAACAAGCATATACTTAAATTATTTCGGTAGCATATTAGTATTTTTTTAATAAGTTATTAACTTCAGAAATGTCATAACATTTGAGAGAAAACAGATGTATAATCTATAGCTAGTTATTTCCAAGGCTTCAATCCTTTTGAATAAAAGAAGGGAAGGACCTCTCCCCTCTGTAACACATGCGCGCGCACATACACACACACCCCCCCCCCAAGTTGCTGATACATGTTTGAAGTTAAAACTGATTTTTGGCAAAAAAAAAACCAAAAAACATTTTAGGTATGTTACCTTTTTTTTTTTAAAGGAAGACTGAGGTTTCTAATAGAAAAGCGGTAGATAATAAAAATAAAACCCAGTATTTCTAAGCAAGTTTTTGTCCTTGAACTGAATTACGATGCTAGTAGCACCATTGGTGTTATGATTTTAAAGCTGTCTGGAAGTATCTGGAGCAGAAGAGCTATTAGACCTGCTTTTATTTTTTTGTCCTCATGTAGAAAGTACGTGTGTTTGGCAGATAGAGATGGCTGTAAGAGAATCAGAGTATCAAGTGAAATTTTTTTATTCATTACCCAGTTACCAATAATTATTTTGTGTAGCAGGTTTTTTGGTTGGTTGGTTTTTGTTTTTTTTTTTTTTTTTCATTGGGGTGTGGGGGGCGGGGGTTGTTTTTTGGTCCTGGAGCTTTTCAAGTATAAATGACCACCTCCCTGCTTTACTGAGCCTCTGGAGTACTTAAAAAGAATGGTTCCCAGTTAAGACCTTCAAACAGCGTATTTTACCTTCATTAGGAATTTTATTCTAATCATATAAGTAAGATTATCGTACATCAACAGTAATCTGTATTAATAGAATATATTATTTCAGCACATTTCAAGCCTGGAATAACTTTGCGAGTTCCGGTGGTCACAAATGTTGGTCAGCTGGCCTGTAGATTGGATGCTTTGAAATTTGTGTAAAAAGCTATGTGTGTTTAGTCATCCCAAGGCTAGTCTGAGCACCAGTAACTTTGTACAGTAACTTCATAGTCTCTTTTTTTTTTTTTAATCCTTGACTTTTCAAAGGCTACATACTTTGGTTATGCTATAATTGGCACACAGCCTTTAGGTTTTCATCTATTTCTTAGTAAAACCAGCTCTATGTTTGTGTGTTTTTGTGCCCTAGTGTCATAAGCTGTAAATAAATTATTGCTGTTGTGGCAAGGTTGAACATTTTGTAATGGTTGCTTTTTCCCTTATGCCTTCATTATATCGTAAAGAAAACAATAATAAAATTAACTGCTGTCCTGCTTAACTATAAGTCATAATTTAAATATCACTGTAGACTTGTGAAGGAAGAAGATAATGAATTTCTGCTCTAACATTCTGGCCCAGGAGTGCATCTATTTAGACTCTATATGCTGAATTAATTAAAAACAAAGCAGCAACAACAACAGAAACCCCCAAAAACCCAACACCCCAAAAAACTCACAACCTCCAAAAAACCCAACACCTTGTGTTTGACTTCAGTTACCCTCTAGATTTTTTCCTTGACTCTGTTCTTATGCAGCCTGGCAGGACTACTGTTGTTTTGTTTTGGGGTTTTTTGTTTGTTTGGTTTGGTTTTTTTCTTTGCAGCTTACAGTAAGTTCCCAGATGAAAGTTTTCTTACTTGTTTAAACATATGCAATCAGTAGTTACTTGCAACACCTACTATATCAGTTTCTCCCTGGTTTGTGTTTTTGTGGCTTATGCCACAATGCAGTGACCTAAACATATCTCTGAAGAGTTTATTTCTTCATAGTGTTGAAGTAAAAGAATCTTTGTATAAATACAACCAGAGCAGCTTATGCATGTACCCCTATTTCTGTGTACTAATATTTGTGAGCGTAGTGCAATCACAGGTTCTTCTCATGCAGCAGGCTGCGTGGTATAGACTGTGCTATGTAGATCTGCTATGTGGTAAGAATATATTAAGACTGATAATACAAGACTGGAAAGCGTCATACTTTAATATTGTGTTGGTTGTTTTAAGCAGCATGCTGCACTGAGAGAGCACTGTGGTAGGAGAGTAAATGGTGAGAATTGTCACATATTGTCATTTTATAACTTGCTGAGAAGGGGGGAAGGGGAAGATGACTTGTTCTAGCTGGTCCTTCTTTTTCTATTTCAGGGGTTTTGTGGTTACTCTTTTATTTGGAAAAATCAACTCAGAAAAATACCTTGAGCAGTGTGAACATTCATTTCTACCTTGTACATCAGTTGGGATCCCTAAGGTAAGGAGACTTTACTGCTCTTAACTTCTAGATCGGACTTTATAACTGAACATTAGAATAAGACTAATGATCAGTTTTAATCTAAGAATTGTACCCATTTCCCAAGGCAAAAGAGCCTGCTCTTATGTTTTGAGTCAGCTGCAATGTGCAAGTGAAATGCAAGATTTTTCCTTTTTGAAATACAAGCTTTTTAAGCATTTATGGAAAGTTTGTTTCAAGTATTGTTTCTGGCTTCATTATGAGGAATGAGTAAGATGTAACTGGCTAATATTATCTGTGAGGGAATTACTAAACCATTCCTTTCTAGTCTACTTGAGTGTGTTGGGTTTTTTTGGGAGAGAGTGGTAGTTCCTCCTTGCTTTTTCTTGGAAGATTGTCACAAGTATTTAGGATTCTTCCATCACTGGATCTGTAGTCTCTCCAGTTATGATTCTTTTGATTGTTTGTAGTCACAGAGTTGCTTGCCTAACTAAGAAGATTAAACTGTTAATAAAGTCTAGATTTACAGTATGTCAGGGGTGTACATGTTGTTATCTTTGGCTATCTCTAAGACCAAGCAAAAATCCTGGAAATGCATACATAAATGTGGAGCAGCAGTGGCATACCCTTTTCAACTCTCTTCTTTTTTTCTGAATTGTTAACAGACAGATCATTTTGGTTGATGGACCTAAATTCAGAGTTCCTAATTGGATAAATCTGCATCTGTTTAGTGCAGAATAAATTCCTAATAGCCAAGAGGTAGAATTTCTAGCAATTCCTGGTGTATGAACCAATATGTCTTGGCAGCTCAGAAATTTAGAAATATCTTGGCCTAATCAGTTTACACTCATCAGAATAGAGAAAACACTTTAACCCAAAGATTGCTAGTTATGTTATATTTAATCTCACAACTGTTTTGACTGAAGCATCTTGACCTTTCTTAGCTGTCAGGTCACTACACTTCATGTTGTCTGTGAAAGGGGGAGGGGGGTGAGGGCATGGTGGTGTTCAACTTTCTTATCAGTAGCACATAGAGAGAAATGTATTTTGTGATTCAACAGTATCTTTTCTAATCACAAAACTTGTTTTGTGACTGGTTCATAGCTCAGGTGGTAAGTGGCCTTTTCACTTAAGTCTTTGAATCTGTTGAGATAAATCTGGAACTTAAGTATATTCTAAACCGTAATGTCACTGGTCCAAACGAAAAATATAAAGTTTAAGGCTGTAAAAGGGCAAGTCAGCTGTCAACTAATGATTCTGTTCTGTTAATGAAATCTCATTTTAGGGGACTAAGGTTCTTGGTGCTATATAGACTTTAGTGCTTATATTATGTGGATTGTGGAGTGTTGCTTATGTCTTGTATCTTGAGAGCAGATTTACAAGAAGTTTTGGGTTTTTTTTTTTAAATTTCCTCTATGTTGCTGAAACTTTGTTTACGTTAACGTTACTTCTTTGAGCTCGGTACATGTGTATGCTCTGGTTGCTTTATGAAAGAATAAAATGTTGTGGGGTTTTTTCCCATAATCCTTGCAAATTCAGTTGTTTGACTTCTGATTTGAATGTGGATTATTGACACATCGCTCTTCTGAACTGACCTGTCTTGACTAATCTGTGGATTTAAGTTTCGTAGTACGAAGGTATTTATTTTTAGCTGGTTTACCAAATGCTGGTTGAAGATGTTCTCCAACTAAAATCTGTTTGTCTTCTACAATAGTGTTTTTTACTTCTTTTTTGCCACTGTATTAAAATAGCATTAGCTAGCTTAGCCGAGCTTTTTGGTAGCAGTGCAAGAAGAGATGAGTCCTAACCAAAACCAAATGTGTTTTTTGCTTTGGGTTGCTATTTGCCATTTCTCTATTAAATTTCTGTTGATTTCTCTTTAGTGGAAAATGATATCTTTAACTTGAAATCGTTTTCATGTTTAAAACGATTGTGGTCCTAAGTGGTCTTGAACAATGAATATTGTTTTAAGTGGCAAGTGTATAGGTTATGCTTCTTCCATGAACCAAGTACAAACTGAATTCACCTTGATACTAAATTCTTTCGTGATACTGTATCATCAGATTACTTCCAAAAATACATGTTCTTTGTAAGAAACTCTTTTCCCCAAAGGCAGAGTTTTATCAATTGTTTTGAGGGTTTTTTGTTGTTCGGCTTTGGGTTTTTTTTAGGCTAAGGTGAATGTTCAAATTTTTCATTTTAAAGAAATCAGTTATAATTCAGAGCACCAAAATTGTGGATGGAAATAATGTGTAGAATGTACCAGACTCTTAAGTTACAACACAGGATTTCATGCAGATACGTTTCCTTGGTTGGCCCTTAAAATACTTATTAGCAACTATATATTGAATGCCTCACATCAAGGACAAATAGTTATGTAAGTTTGATGGAAGATTATTTACCTTTCTGCTGTTTTTTTGGTTGCATACACGCAGGGAGGATTAAAAATTAGGATTAGACTTGCTTTTACTTTTGCAAGTCTGTTTTATATAACTTTTGTGTCAGGAATGTACTCGATGATGCTATAATGTAAGCTCTGTAAGATACACAATTGTCTGCAGGTTTATAGAAAAATAATGTTGAATGAAAGGCAAGTTTAGAGCCTTTTGAACTGTTAACTGGAATGCCATTTTCAATAAAAATTATAGATCCAGTCCAACTTTAACAGAAGTGTGGAATGTCCAGTTATTATTGTAATTGGTGTCTCTTACGCTTCATCCAAAATACAAGGAGTTTCTGTAGACTGGGTACAATATTGCCAAATTACTGTAAGATAAGTCATTATCACTGTTACAAGTGCTAGTTGCGTATTTGATCCCTGACTAGTGTCTGAATTTCTTTATTTTGAGTCAGTTGGTCATATGCTGTGTTATGGATTTGAGGCAGGCATGTAAATCCCCTGTGTCTTGTCCACTCATGAAAGCCTGTGACCACAAGTATGTGATTTGGGGAATAGTGGCATTTTTCATATTTAAGAGTTACCTTGCATAGTTTCAAAAAGGGCTTTAAAAATATCTGCTAGTGCAGCAAAGCAAAAGTCTGAAGCCTACTCAGTCACTGCAATTATGTGCTTGTGGAGCCTGGGTTTCTTTACTCTGTGCTGCATCTCCCTTTGTGGAGTGTATGTCCCGTGTTCTTTGTAAGTGCTTTCTACCTACTTAAAGTGAAGTAGCTAGGTGTCAAATTTAACAATAACAAGTGGTAGTCATTTTTCCTAGCTAATGATTTAATACTGGTAGAGTGTGTCAGACTAATATAGTGTATGAAGTGACGGTTGAAGAGGACATGTGAGTTGGGTCCTTCCTTTAAGTCAGTTTCTGGAAGGCCAGGCTTGAAACCAGCAGTGCTTTCCCAGTGAGAACTACAGTCAGCTGTAGTAGCTGCAATGAAATAAAAGCAGATATTCTAAATTTTAGATGTCTTCAGACGTATCAAAAGCAAATGAAATCATACTGTGTGTACATAAACATTTCACTGGAGAAAAAAGAAGAAGAAAGAATGGTCTAACATCGTAGTTGGCTCTGCTTTGAGCAGGAGGTTGGGCAAGATGACTTCCTGAAGTGTGGACCCAAACCTGAATCCTATGAGCCTACGAACATTCAGTTTTTTACCAAGTAACTTTGTGTATTCTCAGTGTGTCCCTCTCTCTCTTTCTTCTGGCTGCTGCTTTTTTTTGCTGCTGTTTTTTCTTCTTTGTCTTCCAAATGTGGTTTTATGCTTGCAGTCCTCAAACTTCAAAACTCTCTTTTAACAGTTTTGCTTGGCGATTTGAACTATGCTGTGGTTAGTAAAAATATTTAATCATTCTATTCTGGGGTTTGGTTTTTTTTTTTTGACACTGTCAAGACAAAAATATTTTGCAAATTCATTACTGTATAGCTGGAGTATTGTTTGAATATGAGACAACTTTATTCATATTAAAGTAGCATCGAACCATTCCCTTGTCTTAAATATATAGAATTTTGCAACAAAATACTTTTGTGTTGTGATACAGAGTTGGTTAAGTAGGAGGAGGAATGTTTTCTGGCCTCAGGTAATTCTCTGTCATTCACTGTTAACTGGTTTGAATGAGAGATACTTAGGAAGAGTCATGTAGAATAGAAGCACTGGACAGATAATTAATTTTTTTCATTTATGGTTTTTGGCAGTTATTCTGGGTTTCTGGTAGTCATAACTTTCTCTCTAGATCAAAGAATAAAATAATTTGATATTTTTTTTAACAATAGCGTAGGTCGTTGGGTTGTTATTTCTGTAAAAATAAAGGAGTTTATTGCAGATTTCATCTTAAGTTTGTAGAAAGACACTGTATTAGTCCACTCAGAGAAGCACTGATAAAGGGTGTTCTTTTTCAGTATGTCACTTGCCAAAAGTCAGCTCTGATGAAGTCATTCCTGGAGTTTACTGCTCGGAGTTGCAAATCCTTCTATAAACTAATTTTTTACCCCCTCATCAATTACTTTTTAAAGACTCATCTGTCAAGTAGTGATGGTTAAAAAAGAGTAATTTCTCTTCTGGCATATAGAATAAACTGAGATGGATAAAGAAACTGAGAGGAAAAAAAAAAAAACAAGCCCAAATTAACAATTACCTGCCTCCTGAGGTTGCACAAGAAGTTCATAATCAAGTATGGAACTGGGGTCTTAGCCAAACACTGTCTTGTGCTGTTGCTGTGTCCCCCCCCTCCTTCCTTTTAACTCTTTGAGGTGTTTTTTTTCCTTCTGATCTAGTATTTTAGCAAACTTGCTCCTTTACAGTAAGCAAGAAGTAGGTTTTCAGGTTAGTTCCTCACCATTATTTACTATAAAGTGAAAATACAGACATTATTGTTTCCTGGAAAGGTTATAGATGCTCCATCCCTGGAAATGTTCAAGGTCAGGTTGGACGGGGCTCTGAGCAATCTGGTCTAGGTGAAGATGTCACTGCTCATTGTGGGGAGGGGTTGGACTATATGACCTTTAATGGTCCCTTCCAACCCAAACCATTCTATGATTATATCTTATCTACTCTATAAATTATTGTAATAGGTCAAGTGTTGTATAAAGTCATCACTGGAAGTATACATATATCATAAATCAGTATCATAGATCATAGATGTATAAGAAGAGCTGATTTTTAATTATAGCTAAAACCTGCAAAGTTACATTTCCTAATCTCTTTCAAGTGCATAGAAGAAATGAAACGTGAAGCCAGACCTATTAAGATTGACAGAAGACTGACAGGTGCGAATATAATTGATGAGCCTTTGCAACAGGTAAGTTCTGAGCAGGACTATTCAACCTATTTTTATTTTGGCAAGTATTGATTATGTAATGTCTGAGTATTTGAGAGACAAATAGAAGTTGAGAAAATTTATCATATTTGAGTGGTAAGTGAAAAAACATTGAGGATGGGCAATATTTGAGTCTGTTTTCTGTATATTATAGTTTCTCAGTACAGCGGTGATGAATGCATGTAAACCACTATGAAAAAGAGGTTTCAGCATGTGAGTTGTATTGTTTCACTCACAGTTTCAGAATGATAGCGGGAGTATGGTTCACTATGTTAACCTTTTAAGACTGCTGCTGCGTTATCAGGCACAAGAAGATATAAAATAGCTTTTTGTGCCTGATAGTCTTTTGCTCATTAGTTCATCTTTCTTTCTTCCTTTCCAATTTCAGGTGATCCAGTTTTCCCTGAGAGACTATGTGCAGTATTGGTATTACACACTAAGTGATGATGAATCGTTTCTTCTGGAAATCAGGCAGGCTCTTCAGTACGCGCTTGTTCAGTTTTCTGCCAGGTAAGATTATTTGTATTTACAACAATACACTGTCCAAGCAAGTGGACAAATACCTCTGTGGGTTGTATGGTAGTAGATAAATGATTAAGTTTATCTAGTGGCATAGTTCAGTGCATTTTGCAGAAAGAACATGTAAAATTTTAAGATCATAATCTAAGAACTACAGCCTTTTGCTGATCCCTTAATGAACGGAGATGATGTTTGTAGTCATGGTCTTTTGCAAAATGGCCTTTTCAAAATTTTGATTGTCTAAAATTAGCTGGTTTTCTGCAACTTAAGCATTGAGTTGAATGAATCATCACCTTTTAATATGCAGGTCTGTTTCATGTAAACAGGGCTATTCCCAATGTAAGTCATTTAATTCAAATATGTCTATCAGCTCAGATAACTTTTAAAAGTGGTCTTGCTCTTCAGTATGTGAGAACAATGAGTATTTTTGAAGGAATAATAATCTGGAGAATGAAATGATATGTCATATGTAATTCTTTTTAAAAAATAGAGTTATTTGGTTCAGAACAAATAGATAGTTTATCTGTCCCATGTTTTTTCTGCTGTTGCTTAATCAAGGAGCAAGAAGTCAGGGAACTTGTCTGGGAAATTCTTTATCTTCTTTAGTATGGCTGATTTCTTAGCCAAGGTAACACGTATCTTTATATCCTACTTCTTTATTAAGTAATGATTTCAGGTATTCATCCCACTGGGCTGGTTGTTACCTATTTTGTCTTCGGAAGAGGTTGTGGGTTACCTAAATTTAATAAAATTCTTAGCAATTTTGAGGTGGTGTTATCCCTTTCCTCTATTGATTTGAAAATGCAGGTCAGTGTGCTCTTCTGGCAAGAAAGGTCAAAGATGGAGAGCTAGGTTTAATGCTTGGAAAAATTCATTATAATAAAATCCTATTGTGAAATAATGGAAATCCTAGGAAACAGTGTTGGAAACAGTGAAAACTAGGCTAAATAAACAGTACATTACAGCAAGCAATCCTGTGCTTACATGAAACGGACCTGGCTGCCCAGCTGTGGTGGTTTTGTCTATTTGGTGAAGCTACTTCATTGAACAGTATCAAGCACTGGCTTTGTGTCAAAGCAGGTCAAGTTATAGCCAATTTAATTTTTTTTCCTACAGTACTATATAGCTCTTTAAAAATAGCTGCTGCTCCTGTGCAGTTGTGTTCTTTTGTACAAATCAAATCAGTTTCACAGGGCTGTGGCAGTTGGTGGTGGTTGTTAAAAGAAAATGATCTGGTGTATTTATAATGATTGTAGTTGGATATAGCTGTAGTGGTCTCAGATTAGTACCATCATCTCTAATTTCATATATCCTGTGAGCTTCTGGAGAGAAAGAGTACAGCGGGATCTCTCTTCCCCGCACCTCTGAGTTGCACGTTTGGAAGAATGATGTAAGGCTGCCACCTAGTGTATTTATATAATTTGTTGACTGTGCGGATGGTGGATATGGATTATTGATGGTTTTGGTGACTGCCCTTTGACACAGCTCTGCTTCTTATTTCTATGTCTAGATTTTGCAGTAAGCTTCCCTCTCTTCGAGTTCCTTACCCCTTTCTCTCTTTTTGAGGGGAAAAAGGAGCAGGTGAGGGAATAAACATAAAAAAGGAAGTGTTGTAGAAGGATAACAAAGTAGGTATCTGAGAGAATTCAGGTTGTGGAATACTTAGTGCAGAGTAAAAGCCATCATTAACATCTAGCTTGTTAAACCTGTAACTCACAAGTGCCTTTTTAGTTTGGCTGGTAAGGCATGGACGTCACAAGAACATCTCTGCATCTTTTTTATACCACTAATGAAATGGTTTCATGCAAATCTAACAGTGACTATTTTCTGACGCATATCTATGTGTATTGTTGAAGATTCATGCTAACAACCTCTCGTATAAGCTGTGTAATCAATTGTTGATAATATAAGGTTGCTTGTAGTTTTAAATGAAACATGGGTTTTCTCACTCATGTGTATACTGCAAATTCAGAAGAAAATTATTTTGTTTAGGTGCCTTCCAAAATGGTAGAAAGTATGGCTGGAAGAGAACTGGAGAGTACTTCAGTTTTAGGTTGTAGGTGCTCGTAGACTGTTTATATCAGGGTTTTCCACAGATATTTGACAGTATCATGAATCAGAACACTATTTTCAGATATTAATATTGACCTTTAAGTAAATCAAGCATAAATATTAATGTGGTGTGAGAGTGGTGTTTTAGAATATTTTATTTGTTTTCAGTGAATAGGTGATTAGGAGACTGATTCATTTCTTTGGTTTTCCATGTTTATTGTCAGTGTGGGTTTTGGCAGAGATGAGAGAGAAGTAGAAATTTATTATTGTTCTTCGTATTCAGGATAAAATAACACATTTTCATGGATGCCCTTTTCTGATAGGTCAAAGGAAACAGACTGGCAGCCTTATTTCACTACACGACTTGTTGATGACTTCGGCACTCATCTTCGAGTTTTCAGAAAAGCTCAGCAAAGAATAGCAGAGAAAGGTGATCAGATGAAAGGTAATGTAATGATTTAAATATTTTTTGCTTTGAGTCTGAGTAGGCAGGTATTTTAGATGTACAAAATATAGCTAGCTTCACTTTATAATTCAAGTTTACTCTCAAGTTTCTGATCATTACAAAAAAAATGTCTTTTTATTTTCTTTTGTGTAGGCCAAGCTGAGGAACTTGTAGATACATTCTTTGAGGTTGAAGTTGAAATGGAAAAAGAAGTCTGTCGTGATCTAGTCTGCACTTCTCCCAAAGATGAAGAAGGTCTCTCAGTATTATCTTCTGAAGTTATTTTAGTATAGCAGACTGAATGAAAATACAAACAATTGTGTTAACAATGTGAAATATACTGAAATTACGTGACTTTCAAAGCTATACTATAATTATGCACATATGTAGCTCTTCCCCTTTTCATTGGAAGAATTTTGAGGTAGAAATATGTTTTCTGGGAGGCAGGAGATGGCTTTGCAGATACTGGCTGCTTTTTGTTAGATCTTCCTTCCTTATCACTACTCCATAGTCTTCATTAAAAGAATCAATTTATCTTTTTGGGCAAAGTGTGAAAGAGGGGAGAAAAACTCTGTATATGTTAAATAAGGAAAATATGTTGGGAGTTAGTTTTTTGGTTCTTAGAATTTGGCTTTCTTTTGTCTTGGTTTTGAGACTCTAGATCTGTCTCAGGTTTACATCTGTGCTGCTTATATTCAGTCTGAAAGGTGTTACTGTGATGCTTGGACTATTAAGACTACATATGACTGTGTATTTGAATTTCATTTTAAGGATTTATCCGGTTTTTATCATATCAGATAAGATGCAAAACAACATAATATAAAATTCTGCTGAGGGTTTTATGTTTTGGTGGGGTTGTTTTTTGTTCTCCCTCCCTAGGATTCCTAAGGGATCTGTGTGAGGTTTTACTGTATATATTGCTACCTCCTGGAGACTTCCAGAACAAGATCATGCGATACTTTGTCAGGGTAAGTACAGACTCTAAAAATCATCCCAGTTCTTTGGTTTAATGCCATCAAAGATTTTACATCTGAGCTGCTGCTCTTATTTTGTAGAATTGATCTAATATTAGGTTATTTTAAATGCAGTACAATCTTTAAAAGTATTTAATAGCAGAGAACAGTTTGTGTGAAATGTTTCTGAAGTTTCTTCTAGCTCTAGCAACATTAGAAAGGCATGATAAAATGGAGGTTGTTTTTCTTGAGGTATTAACATCTTCTAATTTTAATCAGAAGGGAATGTGCTACTACCTTTTGAATGTTTTCTGTAATTACACATTTTTTACTTAGCCTCTACACAGTGATTTTTAAATTGTTGCAGTTGTATTAGCTTTATGAGTAAATGTATAAAAATGAGATTTTGTTTTTCAGGAAATCCTCTCCCGAGGAATTCTTCTTCCATTAATAAACCAGCTCAGTGATCCTGATTATATTAATCAGTATGTCATATGGATGGTAAGATTTATAATGTTTAAAAGGAATGGTATTTCCAGAATATGTTCATATAAAGCTTCACTTGTGTTTCCTGCAATCATGGCAGATAGATATCTGGTAGAAAAGTTACGAATGGATATATTGGCAGAGATAGGTAACTTAGGCTGCTGTACTAAATTGGGTTTTTTACTTATATATTTTTTTTA